CTTGCTTGAAAGTAGTAAAAGAGCCAAGGAAAAGCCTGCGGAATAACTCTGAGTGCAAATGGTGAGATCTTTGGAAAATCGGGGCATGTAGCAAACAGACTTTGTTGTCTGCAATCCACTAACCACTATCAGAAACATCAGAAATGGCTGTTCCCATGTCCAGTGTCGAAACAAGTGACCAACCTTCCTGACATGGAGCAGCTTTTCTTCCCGGCTCGCTCTGTGCATGTTGGGTGCTCTCTGCTATTTCATCTGAGCTTGGCTGGAATCACAGAATTAAGTAATAATAAAACTCTACTTGAGTCAGGGATTATCCCCCACAAAGAAATTTCTGCAATTGTAGGCACAGACATCTAACTCCATCCTATCCAGGGACAGCCTACGTAACCTGTAGCTGGCTGGGATTTTACATGAAAGGAAATACCAGTGAGTTTCTGCAGGTGATTCCCCATTGCCTTGCAATGCATTGGGATAATTTTCCTCTGAACAAAGTAAATGTAAAGTTCTGCCAAATCAAATTGTTACCGTTCTGTGTACCGTCTTTTATCTGCCTAGAAATGCTTCACAAGATGGAGGACAAGGGAAAGATATATGTTTTTCACTGTATTTGCCTGCTTCACTTCTAAAATTACGGCTGCTTTTCTTTTAGTGATAAATAATTTTGATGTTGTCTGCCTTTTCAGTCACAGGTGGAAGACAAAATTTCCCACAGATGGTATTCGAAGATGTTCATGAGTTTCTTAATGACATTCATGGGATCAGGGAGAATGCTAGCATACAAACCAATAAGTACTTTTTTTTACTTTCCCATGGATTTTGTCAAACTGTCGTTTAGCCAGCATTACACTTTGCAGAGCATGCCTGGTCAACATAAAAAACCTGAGTGAGTAAGCTCCTTCGACGAGTCAGAATCAGGTAAAATCATCTACGTGGGATTCCCTTGCATGCCTCCCTTCATTATACCTCCAGAATTATTTTTTTTTGCTTGATGATTGTTTTTCTACATGACCGGTCAAGTCATGACCTGGGTTTTTTTTAAGTGTTTGCCTGCAAGAGAACTCATCTGACAATAAATATACCTCTGCCTTGTGTTTATTAGCATGCAGTTCGGCAACATGCTCTGGGTCTGGATAGCAGGAAACTATTTGTGAAAAAAAATCACTTTATAGTCCAGCGAAGGATTAAGAATTCCTCTGTAACATTTACATCGGATGGCCTTATGTTAACCTAAGCGAGATGACGTGTGGATCTGTACTTGTGCTATGGGAGAAATTACCCTACGTTGCTGGTAATTGTGTAATTCTTAAAAATAAGTCTGTTTATAAGCCCATTGCTGTCTTCTTTCAAATATGAGTCTGTTAAAGCTATTCAGAGTTTGAAAACTAAGGGAGAATTTCTTTTAAAAAATAAAGAATTTATGCAAGGGCAACATCAGCCTATCCTTTTTCTTCCAGTAATCAGCTGCATTAAAATAAACTTGTTCTCACTACTCATGGGTTGACACTCCATATATAATCAGAACCATAAATGAACGGAATAGTTGGCATACTTCAGATAACACACACGTTTATGGACAGCGCATGAATGCTGTTTCATCTGTCCCAGAAAACTTTCCAGGATGTAATTAATGATGTACTGGGGCCAAAGAGCTCCTCATACAAAACCTGTCAGAGCGTTTCTGGGAACTATACCTGAGAGATAGTTTGCCAAAACATGATACTGTGGCAGTCTTCATATAGAGGCAAACCCATAACATATGGGGGTAAACACATCGGAAGGTGGTGCCCAATACCCAACAGCAATGTACTCCAAGGATGCCATGACCACCAGCACTGAGAGCGTTCCCCCAGGCTGGACAGCAGGTCTGGTGTAGGGAGTTATGGCTTCTGGGCATGCGGTCCTGCTGAGTCCTTCAAATTATTTTAATTTAAAGCCTCATACTGAATTCCCAGCAGAGCCTAAGGAGAAGGAAGGAAATGTGCCAAAAGGAGAGAGAAACAAAATATCCCCGTAACTACACCTCTCCTTCTGATGGCCGCTCTGCACAGCAGGACTGAGATGCGCTTTAGCTTGCTCATCTCCAGAGTAAATTCTCCGTATTTTGATGAGGATTCCTACAGTGCTTGAGGCACTCTCTAGAAATCACTTCAAATGCCAGCATCCCTTTGAAAGCAAAGCTTACACAGATCCACCGAAGCCTTCCCCTGCTGCACAACACTCCCCAGACCATCGGCAGAGACCCGCTAAATTTCAAATAATAAGGAGCAGAAAGGGCAGCGGAGACTCTGCTCTGAAATTCAGGGCCATTTCTGAGGGAAACAGAGAGGCTGAAACAATACCTATCCTGGTCTGTTTTCCCCTTCCCAGATGTACAGTAAGAAACAATTTTAAGTGAGCTGTGGAAGAATGGGTGTGTTTAACCTTGCGGCGTGGGATAGGAAATCCTTTCAAAAGGAAAATAAGCTTCAACCCTACTTTTACCTTCCTAAACAGACCGGTGTAAGACCTAAACAAACAAAAACGTTGAAATGGTCCCTGACAGGCTGAAACAATGCCACCTCTTTTTTTAGAGGCTGCTGTTTTCTGAGCTGTGTTATTTCATAGCAACTCAAGCGGCCACTGGATAGTTAAAGTCTCCTCTGACTTGCACTGAAGGAATGTCTCTAGGAGGAGATTTGAATCGGTTCAGAGCTTGGCAATGAAGAGGCAAATCTTGGTCTCTGACTGCATGTCCTCCTAAGAGATAAACTGCAGCTCAAACCACAATTATGGGCTTGATGCAGAGATTATTGGAGGCAGACGCCTGGCTTGTGTTCA